AGTAGAGACAGGGTCTCGCTCTTGCTCAGGCTGGTCTCGAACTCCTGAGCTCAAACAATCCGCCTGCCTTGGCCTCCCAGAGTGCTAGGATTACAGGCGTGAGCCACCACACCCGGCCTGAAAAGTTTTTATAAATGTTCCATTGAGAGTTTATTAAGTAAGAAGTGGGTATCCATTTAGAGAAATGTGTGAAAGTAAAATTGAAAACATAGCTTGTTTTTCTTCAGTTGATTTTGCTGTAATTCGACACAATTATATAATCACAAAACCAACACACATAAACAAAAGCCTATAATGAAGTAAATCATATTTGGATCAATTTAGAATTTAAAAGAGGTCCCGCATTTACCTGCCCTCCATACGCCTATGTTTGCCACAGAAATGGATTATACAAATGCTCCAAGGAGGAAGCTTACTCCATCTTTCTACCTAAGAGTCTATTCACGTTGCTGAAATAAATGCAAATGACTGAGATGAGAAAGTAAGTCCTGCTCACACCCAGGCCATTAAGTGTGGTTAGGTTCCTGACAAGTTACTGGAAGCTTGAACCCCTTTCCAAGTCTCCACTGATTTGTGTCTTGTTCCTTTCCTACAGGTGGGTTTGTATTTTTAAGTATAGTCTTGGCATTCACGTGAAACAGTAGAAAAACAATGAAAAGGTCCTAATGACAGCACAAGGAAATTCAACAGAGAGAAATTACTACTTGGAGATTCTAAAGAAAGCAGAACACTATTTGAAGGTCTAACTTGCCAATAATTCTCAGTGGCCCAGTCAAATTCTATCACCTTTTAATTTGATTCTTTGGAGAAAGATAACTCAGTTTAACATGCTCCCAAGTGGAAGTTTGCCGGGATGTGATTAGGCTGAAAATAAAGTTCTGGTTTTTGTAGCACACTATGTTTGAACTACTTATTTGTTGCAAAAGTGAAACTTCTGGGTCCTCACTGTTAAAACTCTGAATTTTACATAAAATTGAAAGTGTTCGGGAAGCTACTATACCATTAGAAACTGTGTGTTTAGGTATGTCCCTACTTTACATGTTTCACACTCCTGGAACAGATACTCGGTTCTACAAATGTTAAATGAATAAATGAACGATACGATATGACAAAAGTTATAAAAAGTATTCAGAACTTAACTTTGTTAAGTGATCAGCTGGACTTTACTCTGGGGTAACATATTAGGGATAACTGATATTATAAGATTTCTGATAAGGGGCAGCAGAGTTAATCTGATGGATGTGATGAATAAAAAATCACTTCATCTAATGGAATCAGAACAGTAGCTCAGACTTCCTGATTGCCCATCTGAGGCTCGTGCTACTCCGGTATTACCTTCCTATCCTTATACATATGTGAAGTGAATTTCCATATAATGTTGCTCAAATAACATGTTTCTTTTCTTGAATCTGACATGGTAGGAAGAGAGGCAAGAAAATATCAGTATATAATGTGTTTAAACAAAATATTTACATGGTTTTTCTATTTTTATAATTGTTATGCTTTAATATTTATTTGTATTTGGAATGGAATGGCGATTATAGGAAATTCTGGGTAGGATGAGAACTTATTTGTCTTAGTAATGAAAGATAAGAATTACAGGATCACTTTGTATATTTTTGTTATTCCCACGGAAAGTGAGAAATAGATGTATTAGGAGCATCTTTTGTTTAGCTACTCCTATTGATAAACGGAGCTTTCTTAAAATAAGTGCTACATCATAGCTGTAACTGTGAATGTTTACACAATTATCTCTGCTTTGCGTGGCATATAAGTACATGCACCTGACTGTATATTACCAAGTCCTGTGATTCTGAATATAAAATCTCTTTCTCAGGCTCTCCCTTCTTTGCATTTCCACTGTCTCTGATTTATACAACCTTTCAAAAGACAGATTTTTAGATTAAGGAAAAAAAATGCTCACACATTGTAAAAATGAAAATCATACAGAAATATTTAAAAAGATCTCTTCACACTTCACCAACTATGCTTAACTACTGAATCTGGCTTACTGGGCACATGACCTGGGCAGTCTTGTGGGGCCCTGTGCTTTGAGGGTCCTGTGCTTAGTTTATTGCTTTGCTACTGTCTTGAAACGTAATAATTTTTGAACACAGGGGCCTGCATTTTTACTTTGCATCCTACCTCCTTCCACTCCCCTCCCCCTATGTAATCATTCTTAACTGCTTGTTACTTCCAGAAATTTTCTGTGTCTGTAAGCATGTTTGTATGTATGCATGATTCAATTTTTACATCAGTGGGATTATGCTATACATAGTCTATACTTGCCCTCCATCTTTGATGTTGCATGTTGGGATTTTCCTATTAAACAGCTGTCCTAGTATCCATTTCTTCCTTTCCCTAGGTAGTCTCCATATTGCTGTGGGATGATCTAATTCTGGTTTTGCCAATTCTCTGTTAAAAATGGACAATGATTCTCTGTAGCATATAGAATAAACTGGCATCCTGGTAAACAAATCAGATTCTGCAGGACCATTGGCAATGTGCTGGCAAATTTGAGTTTCTGAGCATGCAGGTCTGGAGGGCGCCTCAGGACTAGGAAAGCCACAAAGGTAAGTCTCTGCTGTGCAGCCAGCTAGCTGAGGGTTCTTCATCTGAACATGGACCTTTATTTTCAGACTTTGCAATATCCGCCCCTCTCTCTGTTGCTAACAGGTAGGAAAAGTACCTTCCTTTTTTTCTTTTTTTTAACCATTACTTTGTAGAATTGCTAATAATCAGCCTTGAAATTAGTAAAGACAATGTTATGGAACTGAAATATTTACATCCCCTCAAAATTCAAATGCTGAAACCCTAATCCCCAATGTGATACTATTCTAAGAGGTGGGGCCTTTGGGAGGTTCATTATGTTTAGATAAGGTCATGAGAGTGGAGCCCACATGATGGGATTAGTATCCTTAAAAGAAGAGGAAGAGACTAAAGCTCTTCCTCTCTCCCCGCCATGTGACAACACAGCAAAAAGGCAGCCAACAGAAACCAGAAGAGGTCCCTTGCCAGATCCCGACCATGCTGGCACCCCAATCTCGAACTCCCCAGCCTCCAGAACTGTGAGAAATAAATATTTGTTGTTGAAGCCACCCAGTCTACTATTTTGTTATAGTAGCCAGAGCTAAGACATACAGAGAAGAAGATCTTTCTCTTTTTACAAAATTGATTACTCTACTGCAGAGGGTTAGATCATATATGCTTCTTATTTTACAGCTGAAGAAAATGAGCCTGAGAAATATGACGTTCATGTCCAAAGCCATGGAATTCAGTGATGAACTGAAATGAACATCTATTGCTTTTCAGGTTAATAGACTGTGACATCTTCTTGGAATTTTCCTGAACACTCTAAATCCTGAGGTCAGAAGGATAATCTGAGTTTCGAGAAGTTTGGCTGTTGTGGCAACAACTATTGTCATTGCTCCCAGTGTAACATTTCTAGGATATGGAGGTTGGATTGTCCAAGTTGGTGGTTAAAGATGCCAGAGTAGTAGCGACTCCCACACGCGAATGATCACCAGTGAATTACACAATCTCTCTGACCTTTAATTTTCTTAAGTAAAAAACAGATAAAATAATATCTACCTCAGCTGTGACTAGGAAAGACAAGATTTTAATTTATTCATTTACTCAGCAACTATTTATTGACTATTATGTATCAAAAATTGTGCTCAGAGGGGACGGGTATCTGTATACACAAGGAGTGCAATGCGCACTACCCGAAGGATGGACATATTTGAAACACGGACTTCGGGGGTGGGGGAACCAAGGGCAACACACGTAACCTAAACATCTGTACACCCATAATTTGCTGAAATAAAAAAAAAAAAATTGTGCTCAGCAGTGAGGTTATGGCAGTGAAATCAAACACATTCCCTGCCCTCAGGAAGCTTATAGTCTGGTGGGATTTAAAGTGTAAGAAAGTTAGGAGCACCGTTCCTCATACAGAATCAATGCTTAGTTAATAATATTAATAGCAACATAAGTTTTTAAAAGATTGTTTTCTTTCCTTCCCTTTTAAAAGTAACTAATGCTGCTGCTTTATCTTTAGAGATATTCTCAATCGTGATAATTGGAACATTTATTCTGAAATCACCTTGAAGAAGTTGTCCATCTTCCTGCCCTGCCCCCATCATCCTCCTAAAACTAGTTGCTAGTAGAGGATTTGGCATGCATTCCATCTGGTGCTTTTTCCTATATGCATTAATAGAGCTTTATAAAAATCAACTTTTGAAATCTTGCTTATGTATAAGAGCTTACAGTGTATAAGGAAATGTCCATTTAATAAAAAGCACTTTGACAATCTGGTTAAGGATTACTTACTTGATGTTAACCAAGCATCTCAGTCTATGTGCCCATTTCGCATGTCCGAGAGTTCTGCCAGACTCTACCTAGCCAGAACATGCCTAGCAAGAAGACACTGCATGTCCAAGAAATCAGCTTAGAAGCCTCACTAAAGGAAAAGTCAGCCTAGTGAGGTCCATGTGAGACCTGCCCAGGAATGTGAAAGAAGATGAGCAAGGTTAGTGTGTAAAAACAATGCCATGCACTTGGTAAGTTCTAGAAGTGAGTCTTGCATGCAGGACCTTTGATTTCTTGTGCTGAGCTACAGATGTCTGTTTTAACAGCAGTGCCTGCCAGAGCTGCAGTCCACAAGGCCAGCTGCTCTCAACTGCCAACTGTCAGTTGACATGGCAAGCTCCTACCAATTTATGCTGAGAAAACAGCGTGGAATTGGGTCAGCAAAGGACATTACTTTAATAAACTCCATCTGTCAAATAGACTTATTTGGAGAAAATTGAATATTTGGAGCAAGAATTGTTAAGGCTCTTCTACAATAACATCTACACATGATTCAAAAAACCAAATTGTATTCAGTTAGTTATCCTCCACAGAGTGAAAGAGCAGAATTGGTCTAGTAGATACAACTGTGTGACTTTTAGTGTTGCAGGTGGCATAAATTAAAGCCTTCTCCCACTGGATCCAGAACTTACCTTCCTTCCTCCCAAGCACTGCTGCAGTTGAGGCTTAGTTAGGACACCATATTGGCAGTTGTGGGGCTGCCAAGTTATTTCTCTCCAGTCACAGGTCCTGTTGTCGGAACAACTAAGGCACGGCACAATCCACTGGCCTGGAATAGATGGCAACACTTACTTTGGTTCAGTTTCCACTGGTGAAATTATAGTTTGCGAGTAACTTTAGAATTCAGCTATGGCACACCATTACAGAAACTACGGTAAGAAGACCATTCTTATCATCTACATCCAATGGAGCAATGCATGGCCTCCTGCCAATCAAACAGAATAGCAACATGGAGTAATGTTCTGAAATCACACATTTCATGCTGAAATCAAATATGAGCTCTATTCCATGAAACCATATGCTCATTTTTAAAAACCCTAAGTGATCAGGTACTACTCAATCATTACTTATTTTGAAACAGCATATTAGGTACTTGAATAGGACCAAAGTAGATTGGGAGCCCCCAAAATTAGCAGTTGGCCTCAAATATTTATTAGGCTAACACATGCTTAGGTTATCAATCCAATAATAGGTATATTTGCCACTCTCAAGAGATTTAAGATACAAGTACTTCAGTATACTGATAATTTATTATTTGTAAGACTAAGTATTTTTCCTTGATTTGATTAATGGCCTTTTGGGTATGAATCTTTTCACCTCTTTCTAGTTGTCACCTCAATTTCTTCTTTAATTTAGATGAGGTATGTACTGTTCTACATGACTGGTGTGAGGATGTAATGGAACAATGTATTTAAAAAACCTAGCAAAGTCACAATATTGTGTTCACCTTTTGTGACTAACAGAGTTCAAGCAGAAAGTCCATCATAAGCTTTAGTAAATGTTTATAAAACAAATGAATATTTTCTGTACATTTAAGATATTTTGTATTTTTATTGATAAAATAACACATTCAAAATGCTTCTGCTTTTAGTGTGAATGGCTCCATTAACAATTCACTAGAAAAACATCAAGAAATAATTCTATGCTGTTTCTTTTCTCATCTTTTCAGAAATGGCGTGTGGACATAACACACTATAGAAACAAA